TGTCGTGTTATTCGTGGAAATCGGAATAGTATGACAGCGGCGTCTGTCCGCAGCGCGCAGAGATACCCACGAGCCGTGGCTCGGCGGTGTGCGTTTCAGAATTCCAGCCGGAGTTCTTCCCGGACCAGGACAAGAAGCTGAGCCTGCAGCCGGATGTAACGGCGACGAGCGTACCGGCCTGCTACGAGTATCCTTTCGACCCGAAGCTGTCGATGTCGAGATCCCTCTCCGAGCACCATTACGACGTGCCCCACTTGTCGATCGCCCCGCAACCCTCGCCAATGTCGCCGACGCCAAGCACCTCGACGCAGGAGTCGTGCAGCGACAAACAGATCCATTCCGATTGCGAGAACAGCGTCACTAGCTCGTACCCTTCCTCCGACTCGACGTACAACGTCGCCTCGGAGAGTGTTCGTTTGCCGAAGCTCGAGACCGGGAACGTGGCCGGGGCGGCGGTGAACACGCGCGGCGCGCTTCTCGTGCTTCCGGACGCGGGCATATCGATGTCGGTGCCCGAGGGAGCCGTGCCGAAACCACTCAGGGAGGAGCTCTACTTGGCCGTGCTGAACGAGGATCGCTTTAGGCCTCGATTACCCGGTAAGTGGTGCGTGCATTATTAATTGCCAGGCGCTGGCCGTGACGGTTCCGCAGCAACGAACGTCTCATCGATCCGGCTCGAATTACGATTCAATTGACGCGGATGGTCTCGATGGAGCGCGGAGTAGTGGCCCCGGCTATCTTTGAGGCGAGAACGCTTCCGACTCTCTCGCCGGTGTTCGATCCGTGTAATTGCAAATTGCGGCGTGCGTAATAGCCTCGCGAACGCGATCATCCCCCCAGAGATTGAATTCGATTCCTGGGCAAACATGCTTGCGAACATGTAACACGCGCAATCATCGATCCGCGGAGGGAAAAGATATTTAGATGAGATTCGTCACGACGATAATAACGTTACGCGTGGAGGCAATAGCTAGAGATTCCTGTGTTTCCTCCACAGACGGTATCACGCAACTGTCCGCGGTGGTGACGTGCGGCCCTTCGTCGGCGACCTTCAACAAGCCTGTGATCCTCCAATTCGAGCACTGCGCGATGCTTCACCCGGCCACGTGGGAGCTAAGCGTCTGGGCTTGCGACGGCCTGAGCGTCGAGGACGGCACAGCGATCGCCTCTTCCAAGGATCATCAATCGATCACGTGGAGCAGGGTGCTGACGTTGGGTAACGAGACGATCAACACGCCGCTGTTCACGCAGCTGGACCACGCCGAAGCGTTCATCGTGACGGAACAGCTGAGAGGCTACGTTCTAGCTGGCCAGAGCTGCGAGAACGTGATCGCCACCAAGAGATTGCGGCTAGCGTTGTTCGCCAGCCAAGCTGGCCAATGCTGCGTCCGAGTCTACGCCGTGGAGGACACGAAAGCCGCGACGAAGGCGATCGTTGACAGAGAGTCTCAAGCCAGGGGTTACTTGCTGGACAAGCCAAGAACCTTGTTGTTCCAAGACAACGGCGAGTCGCTGTGCGTCAGCCTCGAAGAAGTTGGCAACGAGTGGCAGAGCAAGTCGCCCACCGAGCGGCAGGAGATCTCGTTCAGAGACGTGTGGAACTGCCAGGAGAACACGAAGCACGTGACTTTCGGTTTGGACACAGCGTTCGGCCCTACCAGCAGCCGAAGCTACAAGCTGCAGGTGTCGCAAGGGAACTCGGATACCAGGCAGGTGTTCAGGATCGTGTACGACGGCGCGAAGCAATTGATCTCGTCCGGAAGCGTGACCAGACCGCTCAGAGAGGTGACGGTGGTCAGCAGCGGGCATGCTAATAACGCCACCACCGACTCCACTACCCTCAGACCGTTTCGGTTTACCAGGTCCCTGAGGAAACAGCTATGCCAATGCCTCGACCCACCGAACGCTCTCGGCAACGACTGGAGAATGCTGGCGCAGAGGCTTCAAGTCGACAGGTCGGTATAATCTTCGAGATTTCCCCCTTCCCTTCGGTAGCTACTTGGCTTCATACTTTGACTTAGCTCGGCTCACGCGCACGAGATATATATCTTCCGGGGACGGTACATACACGTTGTACTGTTACAGAATAGCTATTTCAAATATCGACGTCCTATGAGAGTTGATTGTTCTCGACAGCCGTTGATTTGCAACTCTCGTTTACGGTAAACGACGTTTGTGGTCATTTTCGACGTAGGAATCGAATGGAGCTTCACTCTAATTTCTTTTAAATTATTATTTTTTTTTTTTTTTTTTAGAAACTGATCTTTCCCAGTATTTCACGGTTTCGTGACAAATATCCCGCAATCGTGAATCAAAAATTTCTGTACACCGCAGACAATTTGTTTTTTTTTTCTTTTTTCCCCCCCGATAATAAGGAACACCTGGCCTCGTTTAACTTGCAGGTACATCAACTACTTCGCGACCAAGTCCAGTCCGACGGAGCACATCCTAGACCTGTGGGAAGCGAAACACCACGAGCCGACCGCGGTGACCGACCTTCTGAACCATCTTCGAGTGATGGGCAGAACCGACGCGGCCACGATTCTCGAGGCACAACTGGGCCCGTGGCTCTGAACGAACGGAATCTCGTCACCATCTCGTGACGTTTCCTGTGGTGAGTGAAAGTCCACGAACGAGTCGAGTGAACGAAACGAAACGAACGAAAAGTGGTGAACCCGAACCGTGGTTGCTTCGGCGCGGAGAACAAGTCGCTTCTCCGTTTGACGGACTCATCGAAACACTGCCTTAATTTTCGGCGCGGGACAAGACTGTGTCTCTCTTTCTCCCGCTTGTCCCTCATCTTTTGTACATAGAAATTTTCGTCTCTTTATTCTTTTCTTTTTTTTTTCGTTTCTTTTTTTTTTTTCTTTTCTTTTCTTTTGTAAGACGAACGTTGTGCTCGAGGCCACGTCGTCGGATCTGTACGAGGATTGTAATAATCGTGAAACGAAATAAACTAGAGACTGTGCATTTAGATGGTTATATATGTGTACATATCGTGGTAAGGACTGAAGCGAAGCAGATGCAAAAAAAAAAAAAAATGGATATATCCATTTAGACGGATGTTTATATATATATAAATAAATATATATAAATATATATATATATATATATACAGTTAGATAGATAGATAGAGAAACATCGAGCAAGGAACGAACGACGAAAACACGAAGAGAATAAAAAAATCGTTCCAACCCGATACAAGAAGTAAAACGAAGGAAAAAAAAAAGAGTAATAAAGTGTAACGAACAGGAAAAAGTAAGAAAGGGGGAAAAATGGAAGGTGTTTTTATCGATTTGTTATATACTATACGGATGCACGAGCATACACGCGAGTGGCCACCGGTTTCCTGGAAGAGGACGATCGTGCCAAAATTCACACTTTCGGTTTCGAAACCCACGAACCCGTTTCCGTTGACGTATTCAGATGTTTGTTGAAAAAAAGTACGCGCCCGTGGTTTCTTTCCTGCACGTCGACAATACCACTGCCCCGTGGCCCGTTTCATCGTTCCCATCTCGGGAGAAAACACAAAACGGCGAGGAACAACGCGCGCGCGAGTGAACGGGGCGGACATTGAATCGCGTAGAAAACGACCTTACGATTCGCGGTAAAAATCGGATAATTTTAAAAAAAAAATCGATGCAAGTTTATTTGGAAGAATTGTATATTTGTTACTTTCGAACGAATAAAATATTCTTGTATACCTCGAGCGATTGTCCGTTCAATTTTCATCCCTCTTTCGTTCCTCCTACGCTCGCGAAGAAAGCGTTTTGCTTCCTTTTATCACCTTTGTAATAAAAACGAAATAAATGCAATCAATGGAATTTCTAATAATAAAAATCTAAGGAATCTGTCGTTTGTGGGAAAAATATTTTAATAACGCTCCTCTACTTTGCTTGAAACAAAGGAGACTGAATTATATGGAAATACACTACTGATCCTGAGGTAAGTAATTTGGAAGTTGGACAATCAGATACATTCCCGAAAATATTTGAATCGCTAATCCAATAAATGTCTCTCATAAATAGAAGCTTCACAGCCTCGGTATATATCTCCAACAACTGGATATTAAATTTCTGCGTAACAGGAATGTAATTATGAGTCGAATGTTCGGGGCTAATATTCGGAGCCCTTCGCGCGAAAGACTTCCCTAAATAAGAAACCCTGTCGAGACGACCGGTAACGCGATACGAAACACGTCTAATACCCGAAGAGACGCTGAAAGAATGCTGCTTTCACAAGAATGATGCGGTAATGAGTCAGCTCAGTCAGTATCGATCGCGCATTTCCGAGTAATCGTCGCGCGAAGTTTCAACGGCAACCATCACGTTCCACCATTACCAAGTTTCGATTCCGTGATATCGAATAACCGTTCGGAGCGCGCGCGATGCGTGCACTTAAATACGGCCGCGAATTAGTTTGAAACCTTTTACCTCGATGCCATCGTTCCCGGAATTACGGACATGCTCGCGTAAAACGCCTCGAAAATGACCGCAACGAACCGATCGACCGACCAACGAACGATATTTATATTATACATTCGTCCCTCTGATTCGCCGAATCTAAAAATAAATTCCACGAAATTCTGTGAAATCGTGTGATTGTGAATCAACTTGGACTGATGGACTTTAATCCATGAAATTCTAAGTAAAAGGGTATATCTATGTTGGAAGGTATTGAAATGAACGCGGGCATTGTAAAGTAACGCAAGCCTTTCAATGAACACGTTCGAAGAGCCGACAGTTCGAAAGGTTATTTGTAGGCGCGAACTCCATATATTTCAACGAAGCAACGATGAAAGAAAATTGCATTTCCTTTGGTAATCGCTTCACGGAACGCGATTTGTTACACGGCTGGCATGCCACATAAATCTAAGTAAATACAGTTTCATGCCCGTTTGGAGGAGCACGCAACGCGACTCAATCAAACTAGACGACGACGACGACGACGACGACGACGACGAGAGGCGATTCAACTCGACGATCTATCGGACACGAAACGCCGTCTGTCACGGTCTTTCACGAAAGACACAATGGCTGCCGCAAATGCATTTTATCGACGTATCGTCGATAATTTCCAGCGAACGACTCTTTTTTTCCCCCCTTCTCTCCCTCTTTCTCCGTTCTTCCTCTCTTTCTACCATTCTCCAACCAGCCATTGCTTCCAACGACACAGACGACGCTCCACTTCAATCCCGTGTTTCCTCGCCCCCGAGTTTGCGACTCGACGAAGACGAAACGTTTTGTCCTATTCGAAACTCTACGTTCTTACTCGAACGAGCCCGAAACTCGCGCTACTAAAGAATATTCTTCGACTTTTCGCACCGGCACACCATCTAGCAACCTCTCACTCTTTCTCTCTCTCTCTCTCTCTGTAACTATGTGTATGTGTGTGTGTGTGTGTATGAACGTAGGTACGTACACCTCTGGAAAAGAGAACTCGCGACAATGGACGTCGAACGTAGCAATTTTGAAATGTCGATACCAGTCACGCGTACAGCTTTTCCACGGCTTTTGCCAGCCTAGCTGCTGGCACTGTCCTCCCTCCCTACGTCTTGCCTTGCGTTTTCTCGATGGATACGAATCTCTCTCTCTCTCTCTCTCTCTCTCTCTCTTTGTAACTATCGAGATGAGACGAAAAATCGTGAAACTTTTTTCAAGGATAATCCGATAAAATTTCTGATCATTTATGATTATTTTTAAACGGTGACAACGATCTTTCTGTTCTGGAGAAATGATAATTTCCAGCCCCGAAATTTAAGGAAAGGAGCATTTCGAATTAGTTAGAAATTCCCTTCGAGTTATCGAGTTCTGCCGTTCTAATCGTACAGATTCGCGAGATTAGTTTTTTTTTTTTTATTTCAAGATCTTTATAAAATTTTCAATTTTCGATTACGAACGCTATAGGCAATAAAACTACGCTCGACTCTATTCTTTGGTTATTCTCAGTGTCTCAGTATAATGTCACACGCGATAACCTAAACCATGTGTCTATCTTACCATTGCACGAGGCGTTTCAAACAAATTTCTATGGCACAAACTATTCGTTTTTATGAACGACTCTTCTCAGACAGAAGGATGAGCCCTCAGTTATTTGTATCCAATCAGTGGGCTTTCGAATTCGACGCGTGACCTAGCATTCTCGATAACCCAGCATCACCCAGAGAGATAAGACAATCATCTCTCGTGAAAGCTATCTGTCGATGACAGCTCAATCGAAGTCGACGTTCCGCTAGTCAAACCACTCTCGTATCATCGCGGAGAACGAGATCGAAAAACGACCCGTGCAGTGTTTCCATCGCTCTCAAACAAAAACTACATACGTGCATACTGTCGGTCGCATACTTCCGAACTCTATGGAAGCTGTGTGCAATCTTTTTTTCACAATTGCTTTCAAATGAAAACGTCAAAGAGAGAGACGTGTCGTCATATATCAGATGCGTCGAAAAAAAGCCTGGTAGAAACGATACGTCCGGTAGGAATCTCACTCGCGATATTTCACTTAAATTCCCATTCCCGGCCATTGTGTGACTCGTCGACTTATTCCTCGTAGAAAGAAAGCAATGAGGAGAAAGGAAATGAAAAGAAGAGGAAGAACGAAAACGTGAGCGAGTT